CTTATTTTTAACTATTAAATAATTCCATTTATATCGTACACCAAATTTAGTTTGAGATAGATGTAAGAGTTAGATATTCCTCAATGTAAGAAGTAATTGAGGCAAAGACCATTTAGTGATATTAGTGAATGCTAATACCACTGGATGAAAGAAACAGGTTACTTACTAATTTTAAAGGCAGGTATCTGGTGGTCTCCATGACACTAAGTTATAAAAGTTAGGGAACCAGCAGTTAGCGTAATGGTTATGTCGCTGGACTCCCACATAGTCGACTGCGGTTCGCGTCCCGGACCCGGTGGCTTAAAACCCACGCCGGGCGTGTGTGTGTGCGTGCCCAAGATCCCGAGAGGAGAATGGAGGAGAAGGGATTGCGGCGTGGCCATCCCCTCTGGGGGGTGATTTCTTGCTTTCTGTCTCTCTGTCTCTCTCTGTCTGTCTGGTGAGCGCACGCGCCCTATAGTAAAAAACCTCTCAAAAAAAAAAAAGTTATGGATGTTATACCATAAAATTGTGCTGAAATCATCCAAAAGATAATGTCAGGGAGAAAAACAGTGAAGGTACTATTCAAGATAAAAAGAAATACGATTGGGCCAGCCTGTGGCCTTCTGGTTAAGGCGGTTGGATCCCACAGGGCAATCTGAGTCCCAGACACAGCGGTTTGAGAACCATACTAAGTGTATGTGTGTGCATGCTCAAAATTCAACAAGAGGGAGAAGGAGTTGCAGCATGACCAAGCCCCATGAGGGCTGCCTTTTCACTTTCCCTCTCTCTGTCTCAATCTCTTTGGTGAGTGTGCGTACCTTCTGGCAAAATTTAGAAAGAAAGAAAGAAAGAAAGAAAGAAAGAAAGAAAGAAAGAAAGAAAGAAAGAAAGAAAGAAAGAAAGAGAGAGAGAAAGAGTGAAATACAGTGAGTGGCCTTGACTGGGTCCTGTTTGGAAAGAAAAAATAGCTATAAAACTTACATTTTTGGTGTAAGTGGGAAAATTTAAATGTGGATTGAATATTAAGGAATTATTAATTAACAGGTTTAGATTTGATATTGATATTGTGAGTATGGAAGAAAATGATCTTATTCTTAGTGATGTTCTTTGAAATACTCAAGGGAGAAATATCATAAAATCTGCAACTTACTTTTAAAGGATCAGAAAAAGAGCCAGCCCCAAAGCCTAGTAGTTAAGGGTGGAGGATCTTACGTTGCCAACCATGGTTCAAATCTCAGCCATGGCAGCTTGAAAAACATGCCAGACATATGTGTGTGTGTGTGCCCAAAATCCTGACAGGATGGAGAAATGGAAGAGAAAGGTTGCAGTGTGACCATGTCCCATTAGGGAGTGCTCTCTCTATGTCTCTCTCTCTCTCTTTAGTGAGCACGCACACCCTCTGGCAATTAAAAAAAGAGGATCAGAAAAAAAAGATTAAATTGAGAGAGAGAGAAAGCAAATATAACAAAAGGCTAATAACTAATTCATCTGCATGGAGCTCAAATAAGTGTTCATTGTACTATTCTTTCAACTTTCTGGATGTTTGAACATTTTCAAATAAGGAAATTGGAAAAAAAAGAATTTATTAGTGAAAAAACATAAATAGAAGAAAACAATAGCTAGCACTTTAATAATAATCATGCAATGGAAAAAAACCTTTAAAGCATTGTTCAAAAGCAAAAGCCATTTGATTAAAGATTCATAGATTTAACTACATAAAAGTAAACTTTGAATCACTGACGAGCACCGTAAGCAAACAGGTCATGATAAACTGGGAAAAACAGATGCAAGAAAAGTTGAATGTCAGCCTAGCCTCTGTGGTACATATGGGAGCATACTAGAACTGCTGAGCTGGAAGCCACATGCTGACCATAGTTCAAGTCCCCAGTCTAATCGGCCTGAATATAGACTAGGTGCCAAGGATCCTGGTGGGCTGGAGAACTAGAAACCAATGACCAAACCCTGTATAGAGCACTTCTCTCTCTTATTTGCTTTCTCTCCAGCAGGTGCACACACTCTATCATGAATTAAAAATAAATGGAATCTCCTTAATTTATATTTTAGTTCTTAGAATTGAAAAGGGAAAAAAAAAAAAGATTTATACTGAGAGAAAAAATGTTTAAAAGTGGGGCCAGCCTGTGGCATGGTGGCTAAGGTGCCTGGAGCATACATGGCTGACTACACAGTTCCAGTTCTGGGCCTGACGACTTGAAAAATACACTGGGCATGTGTTCACAAGTGCCCAAAATCCCGACGGGGGCAGGGGAAAGAAATAGAGAAGAGACTGTGGGGTGGTTCTCCGCTATGGGGATGCTTTCTCACTTTTTCCCTCTTGCTCTAGAGAGCACATGCACCCTCTGGGGGAAAAAATGTTTTAAGTCTAAGGCCATGAATAAATCATTTGAAAGAGAAGGGCAAAAGTGAGAAAATATGGAATACTTAGTATTAACAACTGCTGGGTTGATATTTCTCAGCCTTCATCTGGACTCAACTAAGAAGCTTGTTAAAAATACAGTTTCCAGGGCTGGCAGGTGGCATGGTGGTTAAGAGCGCTGGAGTCCTACATGGCTGACCACAGCTCAAGTCCTGGATCTGGTGGCTTACTTTCTCACTTTTCCTCTCTTTCTCTCTCTTCCCCTCTCTGGTCAAATTTAAATAAACAAATAAAGTAAACTAAAATAATTCTTTAAAAAAAATACAGCTTCCTACTGAATTTAAATCTGTAGTGGTGAGACCCAGTTATCTGTATAATAAAAACTATAGTGACTTATAATCATATTATTCAGGAATCAAGGCTATCAAGGAATAAAAAAAAAATCCCTCTTTCAATATACTTACCTTCATCTAAAAAGAAACACAGTAAAATAGGGCCCAGTCTGAATGTCACTTCTATAGGGCCAGTGCTGAGTCTAGTGGTTAAAGGAGCCAGATCCTACATGACTCACTGGAGTTTGAATCTGGCTCCTGCAGTTTGAAAAATATACCCCAAATATCTATAGGATAGAGAAATGGAGGAGAAGGAATTGCACATGACCACAGTCCATTGGGGAATTCTTTCTCCCTTTCTGTCTGTCTCTCTGGCTAGCAAATGTACCCTGACAATTAAAAAAAGAATGCTACTTTTTATTATTTTGGAGAGGTTTTTGCTATAGGGCGGGCGTGCTCACCAGAAAGACAGAGAGAGACAGAGAGAGAAAAAGTGAGAAATCATCCCCAGGGGGGACGGGGGGAATGGCCACACTGCAATCCCTTCTCCTCCATCCTCCTCTTGGGATCTTGGGCAAGCACATACATGTGCCCAGTGTGAGTTTAAGCCACCGGGTCCAGGACTCAAACCGCGGTCGACTACATGGGAGTCCAGCAATATAGCCATAACGCTAACTGCTGGTCACCACACTGGGTGATTTTTAGGAAGTATACTTTGTAAACAACAAAGGGTTGTGCACAGGTCAGAGAAAAGTCATTTTGAGAATGAGTGTGCTAATCCCAATCAGCAGGGCCTGAGGATGTCATTGTTCTTTTCTCTTAGTATGAAACTACTCATGTGTCAGGTACAGTGCTAGCGAAATCTAGTTCTCACAACACCTCTGTGGGAGAAGGGCCATCCTGTCTTGACAGACCAGGAAATAGAGGCTCTGAGAGGCCCCAGGTCATGATGGGAAAAAGTGTCAATCAGGTGACAAGTCTGGGTCATAGCCAGTAGCTCCAGCCTTCTAAGCCAAGGCTCAAGAGAGGAACCCCTGAGGCCTGCTCTCTCAGCACATGCCCATGGACCCTTCCTACAAAAGCTGGCAGGGGGAGGGATGAGGATCGATGGTGGTACAGTGGTAAAATGCAACATTCTGCAAGGGTTCTTGATTCAAATTTGGATACATCTGGGGCTGGTTGAAGGCTAGCAGTAAACTGCAGCATCAAGATTCTGTTAAAAAAAAAAAAAAAGGAAACCAGCAGTTAGCATAATGGCTATGTCGCTGGGCCCCCACGGAGTCGAACGCGATTCGCGAAAAAAAAAAAAAAAAGATTCTGTTGAGGGTCCTTTCTCTGTCTTTCTAGCTCATGGAAAAAAATAAGTAAAAATTGGACCAGCAGGTGGCGTGGTAGTTAAGGCGCTGGACACTCCCACATAGCCGATCATGGTTCGAGTCCTGGACCTGGTGGCTTACTTTCTCACCCTCTCTCTCTCTGTGTCTCTCTCTGGTCAAATTAAAAAGAAATAAATGAATTTAAAAAATTAAATAATTCTTAAAAAAAAGTAAAAATTAAAAAGAAAATAGCTGGTAGGAGATCATTAAGGACACCTTGAGACCTTGCCTTCTAGTATAGCACACAAAAAATATTTTCTATAAATTTTATCATAGAGTGGAATAGTTTCTTCAAAAAGTAATGTATAGGGCAAGCCTCATGGCTTGGAAACTGAATCTCACATGGCTGACCAAACACTTGGAGACCTGGTGGCTTAAAAACCACACCAGACAGAGTGCATGTATGCCTATAATCCTACAGGATGTAGAAATGAAGGAGAAAGGATTATAGCATGATCACACACCACTGGGGGGTGCTTCCCTACCCCACCTCCATGTGCCCTCTGGCAATTAAAAAAAAAAAACCCAAATCAAAACAAAGCAATGTGTAAATCGAATCTAGAAAACCAATGTTGGGTCAGGCCACTGTGGTTGAAGTAGAGGTAGCCCGAGATGCCCCAGGGCTCCCAGAGCTCCACTTGAAGCCCATTTACCCAGTAGGTTGACTATTACTATGAGATGCACACGGGGTGCCACCATATCTAAGGTTCTGACTTCAGGTTGGAAAGAACCAGTTGGGATTCCAGGGGGTACTCGCTCCTAGGTGAGTCAATTTCACGGCTCAGGATTCCAGGGCTGCTGCACACATTGGGTGCTGGCAGGTCCATCAAAGCTGGGCACCAGCTATTTGCCCCACCTGGGTTATTGGCCAGGCCCTAGCATCCTGAACTGCTCTTCACAAGGTTAAAAATCATTTCCACTACCTTACATTTGGTGAACTTTATTTTTAAAAGGTCAGGCTTACTGCATTCAAACTCCAGCCCCTCTCCCTATTTTCTCGCCATCTACTGTGGTTGTCAATTTTCTACCAACAGAAAGCCAATGTTCACATTCAGTTTCGGAGTAGGATGGACAATGAGAAATGTCAGGGGCTTGCCTGGGACGGTTCACATCAGCATCATCAAACAGACCTCTTTCTCGTAGATATCAGGAATCATACCGATCGGTGAGTTGATCATGTGTACGGTGTTCTTACTAAATAGCTTGAATTCGTAATGGATGAGTTGTTCCCAAAAACCGCTGTTGGGCCGGATGATGGGGCGGCACAACTTGGTCCAGGTGTGGGCATCCAGCAGGGACATGGAGTGGTATTTCATGAGGTAAGCAAGGCAGAGGGCGGCTGAGCGGCTGATTCCCGCCACGCAGTGCAGCAGTGTGCGGCCTTGCTTCGTTTCTACGCTGTGGATGTAATCAGCAATAGGGTCAAAAAACTCATAGAGACTCGAGGTGGGTAGATCGGTGACCGGCACGTGTACATACTGAATGTCTTCGTAGAAGGTGTTCTTCACTTCCACTGAGACATTGATAACTGTGGTGATGTAGTTGCTACACAGCATAAGTTTGTTGTTGGCAACCGCACCATTACTGATGTATAGGCTGCTGGTTATTTGGGAGAGGCCATGGATGGAGTTCGACCAGGCAGCCTGAGGTGGAAGAGGAGCCGGAGGCGTCGTCATTGAGGCGGTGGGTCAGGAGTCTCGCCGCGGCTGTTTAGGGGCACCACCCTTGCAAGCTTTAGGGGCACCACCCTTGCAAGCGAGTTCTGGCAAGTAGCCACTCCGCCAGTTGCCGGCCAGGAAAACGCCCAATCACTGGTCGCCACCCTCTTTGTGTCTACTCCCCCACCCAGGCGTCACAATCCGCTACAGCCCCGAGGGCTGGTTTCCATGGCAATGGCCGCTTGTTGCAAGGGAGGTCATGGCTGGCCACTGAGCTGAATCTTCAGAGAAACCCCTGATCCCTTTTGTTTTTTATCTGTCTTCATAGCCATTTATTTTCCAAGCCCTAATTCCTATCTTTCTTGACTTTTTACAATGTTCTGCTACAAGATATCTATTTTATGTTTCAATTACTGGACCACACAGAACACACCAATGTGTATGAATGCTTCATTTTCATTAGCATTGAAGTACAGGACTTAACACTTTCTCTGTAAAATGGCAATATCATATTTTAAGTTGGGAAACAGCCATTTGGCTCATGTGATATGCTAATCTCTATAAAACTGCAGCCAGATAGAGGTTCGACTGCCCTTGGTGAGCTGGCCTGATACTTCTTTGTTGATCATAGTAACCACAGAATCCTGCTTACAAATACATTAGGGCTGGTTTAAAGGAGCATTGCTAACTGATATATAAGTCTTTATCTACTCTGAAGGGCTTGTGGAAGACAGTTGTGACTAATTTAGCTGTGTCACAGCCCATTTGTACATACAGCCCATATGACTTATCATTTGATTCCACTTTATTACCTGAAACAGCAGCTCAAATTATCTTGTCTGATTTCTTCAAAAAGGATGCCCACATGCTTTGTAATATTACTGGGAAGACACTGATGGTGGTGCCTTCCCAGTAATACTAAATATTCTGGAACAAATTAATGCTACATTGAAACTAGGTCCCTACATTGATGTTTATGTATATCAATATTTATTTTTTAGTTTTGATAAAAGGCACGTGCACTTGCTGGAGAGAGACAGAGAGAGAGAAGGAAAATGAGAAAGCTCCCCATGGGGTGGGGCATGGTCACGCAGCAATCCGTTCTCTTCCATTTTCCTCTTGAAATTTTAGGCATGCAAGCATGTGTGCACAGTGTGTTTTTCAAGTTGCCAGATCCAAGACTCAAACTGTGCAGTTTAGCCATGGGGGAATCCAGCTGCCTTAGCCACATCACTGATTGGCCTCAAAATTAATGTTAGGCAAAATTAAAATGCTAACATTTGCATTTCTTCTCAGTTAAAATTTTTGTGGCATCTGACTGAAAATTGATGAGAAAAATAACAAAAAACTAACCAGTTCTTTCACAGAGCACCCCAGAGACTTCACTCTCATTCCATTATCATTTTGATTTGTGTGCAAAGGTGTGTCGAGATAATGAACAACAACAACAAAATGAAATACATTCATGCGTGTTTATGATGGTCAAGGAAATGATAACCTCAAGCAACACACTTTTCTTTTTCTCAATTGTCATAATCACATTATTTTGCATTACTTAAATTGTCAGTCCCCACAGATTTATCTGGAAGAAAACAGAACACTGCTATGAAATAAATATGAAAAATACTGTCTACTGAGGACAGCTCAATTGGACTAACATTATTTTAAAGGGTTTAGTCTGACATTTGATATATTGTATCAGGAGGACCTTAGTAATCTGTGGAGTTATGTGGAGGTTCTTTAAGAGTATTAGTGTCTAGTTATTTCACAAGTATGCACATCTTTTTTTAAAATTTATTTTTCTTCTTTTTTTAACATTTAATCACTGTACATCTTTACAGCATATAAAATGAATTCTGCCACCTTGAATACATTACATAGCGGTCCAGTCAAAGATATTATTGTATACATTGTTATCGTCAATTTTCCATTTTTGTGTCTGTTAAGTGTTCCACTCCTTTTTCCCCTTTGACTCCCCCGCATTGCCCACTGTTCTCCTGCACTTTTTTTAGTTTGCTATTATTATTATTTTTAAATTTCAAGAAAAGCCATTTTAGCTTTAATGAATCAAAATTTAAAAAGTTAAGAAAGATTTGCTTAAGACTTAAAGCCAGGAAAATGATGAGGTTTCTGTCCATACAGTAGGTAGATACTGAAAACTCAAAAAGCAAATATAGACAGAGCTAAAATCTAGTAACAATTGCACTATAGTTTTCTTTTGAAACATTTTTTTCCTCTCCATTCCCTTTTTTTTTATCAAAAAGAAGCATAAACTAACTTATTTGCAAAAAGATAAGTTTAGTCTCTATTTGGCCTGTTATTTGCACAAATCCCTGTAAGAATACTAATTGATTTAGTTGGCTTTACTGGAAACTTTTATAAGGAACTTCAGATTAGACTCTTCAAAAAGCCTCCGAAGGCTACTGAGCCAAGTAAGGAATTAATCATCTGGCTGCTTTTTTTCCTAAAGAATTATTTTATTTAACTTTATTTTATTATTTATTTACTTTTTTGTTTATTTTTAAAATTTGACCAGAGAGGAACAGAGTGAGAGAGAGAGAGAATGTGAGAAGGTGATAAAGCAAGCCGCCAGGTCTGGGACTTGAACTATAGCAGGCCATATGGGAGTCCAGAGCCCTTAACCACTATGCCACCTGCTGGCCCCCTGACTGTGCTTTTAAGTATCTTTTCTTGGAATTTGGGGGCCTGTCAGGAAGTGATATTCTTTACTTACCTGCCAGGCAGAACTGTTTATGGTACCAGGCAGACTTTCTAAGAGCTTCTGTTGACTTTCTTGAGATCAACCTTAGTTTCTTGGCTTTCTGGTCCTATCTTCAGATATGACATTCCAGTCAGAACCCTGACAAAACCAGTGTTTCCAATTTCTGAAGAAAGACAATAGGTATTATTGAATTTATGCAAAGAACCATACTCCCACAACATAAAAATACTCCCATGTAGTCAACTGTGGTTCGAGTCCCGGACCCAGTGGCTTAAACTCACGCTGGGCGTGCGTGTGTGCATGCCCAAGATCCCAAGAAGAGAACGGAGGAGAAGGAATTGTGGCATGACCATCCCCCCTGGGGGTGATTTCTCGCTTTCTGTCTCTCTTTCTTTCTGGAGAGCACATGCACCCTATAGCAAAAACCTCTCAAAAAAAATTTAAAATATTCATTAATATTTTCTTATTTTAGAGGAGTCAGGAAGGGAGAAAAGTTTATGTTTCAATTCTGCTTTCAAAAAAATTTTTTAACAAATCGTTAAAGTTATCAATAGTGGAAAAGAAAACAAAAATCCTTAAATCCAGAAAACAAAGTATAGAAGAAAATCAGTAATATTTTAGCTGAAAGTCATAAAATTGTATTTCACCAGTTCAGTCTCATGCAATTAATCTCTCTTTTGTTGAGTTTGCAGTGTTGCTGTGGTCTGATCTTTCTGTTTAAATCCTAGAAGTTCAGAAATATGATCTCAAAGTTATCAGAAGCCTGCATTCAAGAGTACATATGAAAGTCTTTTTTATTAATTCTCTTAAAAGAGGCAATTTTTGAATTGAAGCCTATTACAAAATGTTTTAGAAAGAGCATCAGAATAAAGCAATTAACTGTGGACAATGAAACTTAAAGAGGCTATGGCTCAAGATCTGATTTTACCATAACCCTAAATTGACGATTTTGATAATTTCTGTGACAAACTGCATTAGAATTATTTAGCATTACAAGTATGACTAGTAATATACTAATACATAACAGAACCAAACACCATTCCATATTTAACAATGTTTCCCATATAATTTTCAACACGTCAGAAAGTTTAATCTATATTATTTTTAATTGTGGCAATATGCAGCACCTTTTTTCTTTTTAGCAGAAGTACATGAAAAGTAAATATATTTTTAAAAGAAAAACAACAGATTTGGGAACCAGCAGTTAGCGTAATGGCTATGTCGCTGGACTCCCACGTAGTCGACCGCGGTTCACGTCTTTGACCCAGTGGCTTACAACTCACGCCGGGCACGTGTGCGTGCGTGCCCAAGATCCCAAGAGGAGAATGGAGGAGAAGGGATCACGGCGTGACCATACCCCCTGGGGGGTGATTTCTCGCTTTCTGTCTCTATGTCTCTCTGTCTGTCTGGCGAGCGCATGCCATGAGAGAAAACCCTGCAAAAAAAAAAAAAAAAAAAAAAAAGCAACAGATTTAACCTGAAACTCGATTTTTCTAAATGTATTTCTTTTCTACAACATGCAAAGAATTTAACATTGGCACAAATACATTTATTTTTCATTTGGATCACAATAACTTTCATAGTGTATAAAAACAGCATAGTTGGAGATAGAATCTTCAGAAATCAAATTTAGGGGCTGGCAGGTGGTATGGTGGTTAAGGGCATTGGACTCCGGCATGACTGACCATGCTTTGAGTCCTGGACTGGACCTAGAGGCTTCCTTTCTGATTTTCCATCTCTCTCTGTCTCTCTCTCTTTCACTCTGTCCCTCTCTGGTCAAATTAAAACAAATAAATGAATAAAGTTAAATAAACTAATTCTTAAAAGAATTCAAATTTAGACTCCCTAAGGAAAGTGAATACATGACTAGTTGCTTGCACCAAAAATACTGAAAAAAGTGTCTATCTAACATGGAGTTTTCATTCATTTATGTTGGACTCTTTTGGCTGTTTTTCGTTCTCTTACATCTGTTAGTTTCTCTTTAGTTTTCCTGGTATAGCACTACCTTCAATAGTTCTTTTTTTTTTTTTGGAGAGGTTTTTGCTATAGGGCGCGTGCGCTCGCCAGACAGAGAGAGACATAGAGACAGAAAGCGAGAAATCATCCCCCAGAGGGGATGGTCACGCCACAATCCCTTCTCCTCCATTCTCCTCTCGGGATTTTGGGCATGCACGCACACACGCCCGGCGTGAGTTTTAAGCCACCGGGTCCAGGACTTGAACTGTGGTCGACTACGTGGGAGTCCAGCGACATAGCCATTACGCTAACTGCTGGTTCCCTACCTTCAATAGTTCTTGAAGAACTGGTCTAGTGTTGGTAAATTCTTTCAGGTTTTGTTTATCTGAGAATGATTTTATCTTTTCTCCCCATTTGAAGGATAATCTTGCCAAGTATAATAATATTGGTTGAA